CCCCCCTCCATGCCGCCCTACTGCCCCAAATCCTGCCCCTCCTGCAGTTTCCTGTTGGGGATGACTCAAGGGGAAGGGCCTCATTAGCGGGGCGCGCCACCCCCTCGTCCTTCATCAGCCGGCTCCCCTCCCCAGGGCCACCCCCCAGCGGACAGGGGAAGCAGAGAGGGCAGGCGCTCGGGTGTGGGGGCCTCAGAGAGGGGGAGGGGTGGGAAGGAGGGCTGAAGTCACTGGGGAGGGAGGAGGCCCTGGAGCTGCTCTCTGTTTGACCTCTGGTCCCACGCCGCCTTGGGAAGCCCCGTGGCCCCGTCCTGCAGGCCTGGGGCTGCCCAGTCTTGGCCCAGGTCCCCGGGCCCCCAGGTGAGGGGCAGGAGGAGGAGGAGCCTGAGCAGAAGGCCACAGGCACCAGCAGCCAGGCTCCGGGGACCCAGGGCCTCCCTGTCAGCTTCGGGCGAGTGTCCTTGGGCAGCCTGGGGACACCCCTGAGTCCCCATCCAGCCAGGGAGGCGCCTACTGGGTGCTCCAGGCCAAGGTGTGGAGAGCGGCCCCCTTCCTGCCAGGCCCGGGCAGGCCGGTGTCCACCAGCCCAGGGCCTGCGGGAGGGTGCTGCGGGGTCTCCAGCCGGGAGCTTCACTGCGGAGGGGGCAGAGGAGGGAGAAGCAGGAATCTTGGTCCGCCTCCTCCAGGGAGGCAGAGAGAAAGGGCCACTGAGCCGGCAGCCACCTGGGACAGCAGGTGGCGGGACCCTGCCCCTTACCCACCAGCACTTCAGCTGGGCTGGCAGCGTCTGGCCCCTACGCCTGGGCAGACGCTCCCCCAGGGGAATGGCGGGGGGGGGGTGCCAGGGAGTGGGGCTTTGATTCCCCTGGGGCTTCAGGCCTGCAGGCCCGCCCCCACCCAGACTGGGCTCCAGGACCTCGGCCCCCTCCCACCCCGCCCGCCTGTCCCCCACTTCTATTTCAGGTTCTCCTTGGCTATTTATAGGCATGTCTGCCGACCGAGTCAGGCCCAGCCCGGCTTTGCCTGGCACCGAGGCCAACGGTGCCATCACCCTCCACCCGGTTGCCACCATCACCTGCCCTGTGGGGCTCGCGGGGCTGGGGTGCCGGGGAGGAGCCGAGGGCTGGGGGTTGCCGCCAGGCGGGGGGGCGTCAGCACCCCGCCTGACGCAGGGAAGGGAATGGAATCAGGGGAGAGATTTCCCTTCTGCTCCCTGAGGCCCCCGCTGGGCCACCCCGAGGACAGGCCCTGCTGCTGCGCTGAGTCTCACGTTCCGTCTGTACAGACGTCCCCCTACCGGTCACGGGGTGTCACCCCCACCCCACCCCTGGGCTCCCGAAGCTCCCTCACAGGACCCCTTCCCGGCCTCAGGGAGCCCCCGTCCTCCGCCCCTCCCCTGACGGTCCCGAGGAGGGGACCTTCGAAGGGCCTGCCCCTGGCCTCCCCACCCCAGCCTCCCCTGCCCTGTGGCCTGTGGAGGGCCCGCCGCTCTCTGCGCCAGCCCCGCCCGGACTCGCTCCGGGCTCTGGGTGCACATCTGGGCCTCATCTCCTCCTGCCTGACCAGACTGGCTCCGGCGTCCCCTTCCCCGAGACCCCTTCCCCCTTTGTGAAGCCGCTACCACACCATGAGGTCTGGCCACTCCTCCACGAACGGTCCCTTGTCTGGAGACCCCCGCCCCAGGACTGACGGAGCGGTCCAGACCTCCGCACACCCCTCGCCAAAGAGGGCGAGAGTCCTCCGCGGGTGGGCACATGCCCCCCGCCAGGGGGGGAGGACACTGCGCTTGCCCAGGCACCCTGCCAGCAGAAGGAACCCCCAGAAGCCCCGCCCACCCACTCCACTCGCCCAGCTCCCTGCGCTCGTTTCCGGGAGACCGGACGCCGGCTGCCCAGTTCCACCCCCAGATCCTCAGGGGCTCGCGCTTTCCCGGCACGGCAGGGGCCGCCCTGCTCAGGATGGATGGCTCTTCTGGGGAACACACAGAACCCCCCCACCCCGTCCTGCTTCAGAGTCACGCAGAGCTGCACCCACTTCCCGTGGGGCCTCAGCCGGGGCAGAGGCCGGCAGCACGGCCCCAGCACGTGCCCCTCCGCTCTCCGTGGCCCTGGCTGCACTGCCCCAGCCTCTCCAAACACAGCCTGGCAAGCAGGCGCTGCCGCCCGGCCCGGCCCCAGCCTCCCTGAGACCAGCTGGTCTGTGCATCAGACACACCTTGATAAACCCAAGCACAGCAGCACTGTCTGAGTGGGAAGGGGCCTGAACGCCACGGGGGCCGGCCCCTTCCAGCACAGTTCCCGGGTCTGCTCGGCTGGGCAGAGCAGAGCAGGGACCTGAGCCCACCCTCAACTCTCTGGGGACGCCGGAGACCTCGGGCCCCCACCTCGCCCCTCGGACAGGGTTCAACAGGGCTTCCACGGTGGTGTCCAACCCCGAGACAGGTGGTCTGCGGCTTCTTTGTTAGATGTCTGCTGGGTGCCTCCCGCCTTCGAGGACCAGTGCCTCTCCTGGTCCGTGGGACCGTGCCCCGGTGGGACCGTGCACCGGTGGGGCCTCGCAGCAGCACCCGGCTGCAATGCAAGGCCAACGAACAGAGTAATAAAATGTAGTAAGATCTGACTATTCGTCCACCTTCTCTCCCTCCGACCCGGCCTTCCTCCCATTTACCCGCCCATCACTTCCTCTCCAGTCACCCAGCCACACCCTATCCATCCACCCACCCATCTACTCATCCATCCACCCATCCATCCACCTATCCATCCACCCACCCATCATCCGCCCATCCACCCATCTATACATTCAACCACCCACCCAGCCGCCCGGCCCTCCGCTCCCCCACTCATTCCTATGTCCCCACTCAGCCCTCCGCTCCTTGACCAGCCCCCCTCCCAGCCCTGACCCAGCCACCCACTCATCTCCTCACCCTCCCTACATCCACTCCCTGGCCACCCACCGCTCACCCTCACACCCACCCATTCACCGGCCCTGTCAGTACCTGTGCGGGATACACCCGGCTTCGTTGAATTTAAGTGCCTGACCCCGAGCTCTGGGTTGCTGAGCCAGCCACCTCCAAGGCGTCCATCATGCCTACATGCATTGCCAGTCCCACTGGCCACCCCCCCCCCTCACTAAGGTCTCCTTTCAGAAAGCCCGGGGTGACCTGGGTAACTGACCACTTTGGCGACCCTGCGCTCCTGTTGTAACTGCACTGAGAAGGAGCGAACCTGCGAGGCCCCAGGCACTCCCAACCCCGGTCAAGGCGGAGCTCCGTCCTCGCTGCCCTTGCATCGCTCCGGGTGGCCCTGGGCACCAGGCGGACGCGCCCTCGACGATGTGACGGACGAACAAACCTTGTTCCCAAACTTCCCCAGGGTCGGCGCGGAGGTGTGACTTGAGTCACCCTAGGAACCGCTGGGCCGGCCGCCCGGCCCTGGCTCTGGTCTGGAACCTGTCTGTGGGGGCCCAGCGGGGTGGCCAGGCGTCCTAACCAGCAGCATCGCCACCCACGGGCGGAGACCCACGCCACACAGCCCGTTCCCACCCTCTCTACCCACCATCCCAAACCCACACGGCCTACAGCTCTAGGCCTGACCTGGGGGACACAGAGGCGTGAGGAGGCGTGCCTAGCGTTTAGGGGGCGGGGCCACGCCACGGAAATGCGGGGGCCGGAGCGGGAGGAGACCCGCCAGGGCGGCCAGGCTTGCGTCCAGCCTCGCCTCGCCACCCGCTCCGTTCAGCCCCCCAGTGCGTGGAGCCCTAGCTGCCCGGTCGGCCTGGTCCACCTGGTCAGAGGTCGCCCACCCCTGTCTGGGGTCCCGCACTGCCCCAGGGTCCCAGGTGTCACAGCCCCGGCGGGTCACCGTCCCGCTGGCCCGGCCCTGCTGCAGGTGCTATCCGGCACCCGATCAGGGCGCGCCGGCATGCTGTGGAGACAGCCACCGGCTCTTTCCCGTCCTCCTTTTATTGACTCTAAGGGGCTGCCAGAGTTATAAATAGATGTTCTGGAGCTAAAAATAGCTTTGCTGGAGCGGCAGGCCCCGTCTCCAGCTCTCGGCCTCTGTGAGAACTCTGAAGGATGCAGGGTTCAAGGACCCCGGCTCCTCCAGCGGCCCCCATGCCGGTAGGCGGCCACGCACGTGCGCTCACACACACACGCGCACAACACAGGTCTGGGGGTGTCACCAGGTCAGACCCCCTACCAGCTCTCACACGGTCGGGGCCCCAGGGCCGCGGGGCGGGCGGAAGGCGGGGCCTGTCCGGAGCTGCCTAGAGACGCAGTGGTTCCTGGGAAACATGTTGGAGCACGGAGGTGCCCGGCATGTGGGGGCGCTCAGCGGCAGGAGCCGAGTGTGGCAGCGGGCAGGCAAACCCGGGAGGGACGCGGGGCAGTGCCGTCTCCCAGCCCGTCCTAGGGAAGCAGTGGACGCGCTGCAGGCTCCCGTGCACACACGCACGCATGCGCACCAGGGCAGGGAGACACCTGGGACCCTTGTACCACGTAAACGCTGACGTTGATAAGTCATTTATGTAACATTTAAAGAGCTGGCGCAGACGCTCCAGTGGGCCAGGCCCCATCTCTGATGAGAAGAGAAAGCCGGGGTGCGGTGTGCACATGCATGGGCCCGCGCGGGACTCCAGGAGGCCTGCGGGGACGTACTGGGTCGTTCCCAGTTGGGCCTCCGGGAGGGCGAGATGCGGGAGACTTGAAGGGCAAAACTGAGTTTTTGTTCTCGTGGTTCTAAGGTATTTACGACATCGCTGGCAGCGGCAGTGAGGAGGAGACTGCATCCGAGGCGCAGCTGAGGCCTGTGCTTCGCCCTCTGCACACCGCCCCGCCCCCCCCCCGCCCAGGAGCCTCCACGCTACCCTCTGCCCTGGGGGTTCCGGGCCCAACACGCTAGCCTCCTGGTCTCGGGGGTGGGGGCGTCTTCAGGACCCCCTCCCTGCCCTCCCACACTCCCACCCCCAGGCTGAAGAAAGAGGCAGCCAGAGGCGTGGAGAAAACATCCATCTCGGGATTTATTACAACACGTTGTTTCCAAATACAAAAGAAGGGGACAGGGCGGGAGCAGAGGGTGGCCGCGCTGGAGGAGGGGTCTGAGGCAGGGTCGGCGGGTGGCCCAGTCTGGGGACTGGGTGCTGTGCGGTGGAGGTTGGGGGGGGACCCGCCGCCTCTCCTCTGCTGGGCTTTCCAGCAAATAACAGGAGGAGGCCTGATCCGTCCTGGGGCCACCCCGGTGCCAGGGCACAGGGTGGGGGGCACGGGCCAGAGGGAGACTTGGAGAGGCTCCTCCCCTCCCTGCCTGGGACTGGGTGGAAAAGACCAGGGAGGCCCCCCCAGCACGGAAGGGGGACCTTCTCCTGCGTTGCAGCTGCTCCCTTTGGGGTGGCCAGTGCTTCGAGAGCAAGAGCCCCACACCACCCAGGACAGTCGCCGCTGCCAGGGCTGCTGCAGCCTGGAGAGAGGGCGAGGCAGGGGAGGGGAGGGGGGGAGGGCCAGCACTGGCGCCCGACTTCCGAGTGCTGGGCCCAACCGGTGGCCCAGCCCACTGTCTCCTGGACAGCACAGGGGTGGGGTGCGGAGGGGGGGCCAGTGCATCCTCCACGCCCGGGTCCCCTCAGAAACCCAACGCGACAGACGAACAGGAGGCAAATTTACATAATCAATAATAATAATAATAATAATTAACCAATAATAATAAATACTTAAACTTCTAATCCATAGATTGCAAATACAACAATGATAGCTTATTTCTGGGAGAGCGGGGTGGGGACAGAGAGGACAGGAACAGGACTTCTGCGGAAAGGAGGAGTGACAGGGACACAGGGCGGTGGGTCTAAAGAACAAACAGAAACAGCTGGGGGGGGCAGGCACCTCCCGCCCTGCTTGAGGACTCAGTCCTGCCGGGGCTGCCCCTCCCGCCAAGCTCCTGGCCTCTCCCCAGGGTGGCTGGGCCCGACCCCTAGGCCCTAGGACTTCTGGAACTCAGGGGACATCTACTCCCGCCTCCCAGATGCTTGGGTCCCAAGAACCCAAGGGGCTCGGGCCGGGGCAGCCGGGCCTCTGCTCCTGCCCTCGCTCCCAGGCCCACCCAGCTGGGCCAAAAGCCGTCTGGGGTGGGGACTGGCACGTCCCCACTGAAGATCCTGGGAGACCCCGGAGGGGAGGGCTCCTGGGAATGGGTGTGCAGGGGGGTCTTCTCCTCTGAGGCCCCTGTGGGGGCGCGGCTGGGGCTGCGTCCTGCCTCTGTTCAGGTCAGGGGTTGGCTGCCCTGGGCTGGCTCTCCCAAAGCTGAGGACGCCACCCCGGAGGCACAGGGTCTGAGCAGGCTTTCTGGCCCCTGCCCTTCAGGAATAAACCTGACTTTTGAGTCTGGCCTGGGGCTGGGGCTGGGGCAGGGGCTGGGGCTGGGGCTGGTGGAGGGAAGAGCCCAGAGCAACACCCTAAACCCATCTGCCTGGGGACCAGGGGAGCCAGCAAGGGCCGGTGCAGCTCCTCCTGCCACACACCCCAGAGGCCAAGACCCTCTTCCCGGGTCCCCACACCTGCAGGGGGTGCTGGGGGCCCCCAGAGTGGAGGGGAGGGAAGCAGCCTCTGAAACAGCCTTGCTGAGCATGAAAGGGGGGCCCTGCACTCAGGCCGGAGTGGGGGCGCTCCACCTCCGTCCCCGCCTCGGGACCCACGCCATGGGACACACAGGAGAGCCCCGGCAGGAGGTCCGACCCCGGTCTGTTCCCCAGGCCTTCACACGCGTCGGGGCTGGGCAGGCCCAGTGCTGGTCCACACCAGCCAGGCACGAGGGGCGGGGACAGGCGGTGGGGGCACCCTCCGTGGCACCCAGACACGGTGCCTGGAGCCGGTGGGGGACGGCAGGGGCGCCTGGACCACAGCCCCCAGGGCTCCGGAAAGGAGCAGAGGAAGAAGAGAATGCAGAGAGGTTGGATGGGGAGGGCAGGCAGGGAGTTTCTGCGGCTCAGTTTGTGGCAAAGTTTTTTTTTTTTTCCTTTTTCCCCTTTTTCTTATGTAAAAAGTGCACGAAAGCTCGGCAGCCTCTTTGCAACGGTTAGTGGTGTCATCTGGGGTTGGGGCTGGCGAGGAGGGGACCCCAGGCCTGGCACCCCAGCTTGCCACTTGAGGGTGGCCTCGTATTGCTTAGAAACGTGTCTCAGTTTAAATACCAGACTAAAAATAGAGCTTGGAGGACCACCCTCACTGTTGCCAAATCATTGCCAGAATGAACAGCTTCAATAAATAAAAAATCGAAATATTTACTTCTCGATAAAAATCGCAGTAAAACCATTTACCTTTCTTTGCATTATATATAATATATATTTATAGAGGGCCCGGCTGCTGGCGGCCCAGCCGAGGGCAGCGGAGGGCTCCGGGCGCTGGGTCCCGGCCACCGTCAGGACACCTCGATGACCTCCACGCTGCCCGAGAAGCTGGCCTGCTTGCCCAGGGCGGCCAGCTCCTCGCCGCGGGCGCGCCCCTCCACCATGCACTCCTCAAACTCCATCTGGCAGCTCCGGCGCTTAAACTGCGTCTCCGGGGCTGGCTCTTCAGGCCAGCTGGTCCGCACATCCCGGGACTCGGCCCTCGCCGCCTCCCGCCTCCGCAAGTCGCCGCCGCCGCCGCCGCCGCCTGTGCCCGGCGCCCCCGCCAGGCTGAAGGGCGCGAACCGCGCGCCCTGCGCGCCCTCGGGGCTGAAGCACCAGAGCCCATCCGGAGAGGGCGTGCTGGGGGAGTCTAGGGGCGGCGCCCAGCCCCCGGGGCTGGCCGGCTGGCCAGGGCCAGGCAACCCGGGGGCAGACAGGGCGGAGAGGCCGTGCCGTGGAGTCTGCCGGGCGGTGTCCCCGAAGTTCAGGCCGAGGCCGTGCCCAGGGGAGCGTGCGGGGGAGCCTGCTGGAGGCCGGGGCCGCCGGCGTGGCCGCGGGCGCGACTCCGGCGCTGCGTCTGTGCTGTCCGGGCTGGGCGAGGGGAGGCCTAGCGTGCCCCCCGACGGGCTGTCCAGCTTGCAGAGCTTGGGGGCCTCGCCAGGGTCGGAGGGCCCGGGGTCGCTGGGCCGCTGGCTGGGGGCGTAGGCCGACTTGATGTCCAGCGAGAAGGAGCGCTTGAGGCGGTTGGTGTCCTGGAGGCGGTCGGAGGAGAGGTGCAGGCCGCGCAGGCCCTGCTGCAGCGCGCTGGTGGCGGGGGCCCCGGCGGGCGAGGGGGGCTCCCCGCTGTCGGCGCAGGCGGCGCTCGGGGCGCCCTCCGCGGCCGTGTTGGCCGCTGTGCCCCCCGTGGCCGCGCTCTCTGAGGTAGGTGGTGGCAGTGGCGGCAGTGGGGCCGCAGGGCCCGGGAGGGGCTCGGGCGTCCCCGGGAGGGCGGCCCCGTCGCCCTGCAGGGTGGCCAGCAGCTTCAGGCTCCGCTCGTACTCTAGCAGCTGACCCAGAAAGTTGAAGTTGGGCGAGATGGATGGGCGCCGGTCCTTCACGAACCTGGGGCGAGAGGCAGCTGGGTGAGCAAAGGGCTTCCCGCCAGGCCAGGCCGCCCACCCGCCTCTCCGCAGCACCCGCGGCCCGTTCCCCCCAGCACGCCGGCTGCTGTGCAGACCCGCTGGGCTGGGGCTGGATTCAGGCCTCCCGCCCCCGCCCCCTGCCCGGGGCCGCAACCCCAGGGCTGCGCGGAGGCTCGAGGGTGGAGACGAGGAGGTGCTGTCCAGCCACAGAGAGAGGGGCCGCCGACCGACCTGTAGGCGTCGTCGGAGGACATGCCCATGGTCTTCATGATGTACGCGATGGCAATGGTGGCGGAGCGGGAGATGCCGGCCAGACAGTGAACGATGACTTGGCAGCTGGACAGCTTGGCTTTATCTGGGGGCGGCGGGGGGGGGGGGCACAGAGACGGGTGAGTGCAGGGGCGGCCCAGCCTCCCCGCACCAGGCAGGGGAGCCCGCCCCGCGCCCCGCTGCCCGCGGCGTGGGGGCGGGGCGGGGAGCCCCCCTCACCGATGAACTCGATGGACTTGTCCAGCCAGGGCAGCAGCTTTTCACAGTAGTTGTCGTTGATGGGGATGCGCATGAAGCGGCTCTCGCAGATGAAGTCGGGCTTGGGGCAGGAGTTGCTGGCGTTGAGGACGTAGCTTATTCCGTTTTGGGTCATCAGATCCTGGAGGGTCGGGAGCGCAGGTTGGAAGCGGCTGCAGCCGGACGGGACCTAGGGAGCCCCGCCCACTCCTACCCCGGAGCCTGCGGCCTCTGCAAGCCCCGCCCACAGCCCCGCCCACAGCCCGCCCCGGCTCCCAGGAATCTCAGGGTTGCCTGGGCGGTGGCTTCACCCTCTTTCCTCGTCACCATTTTTAAAACACGGGATTCTTTCAGCGCTGGCCAGCGGCCCAGTGACATCAGCAGTGTGGCATGTGGGCTCTGCCGCCCAGGGGCAGGGAGCTGCTTCTCCACCCTGTCCTGCCCGGCCCTTCCCCCAGCTCGCCTCCGGTCCTGCGGGCCCCCTCGGGTCCTCCCGTGCCCCCCGCCTGCGCTCACCCATCCCCCACCTCAGCCTTCAGCTCCCTTCCTCCCCCAGACAAGCGCAGAGCGCTCCCGCGCGCCTGCGTCCTTGCCCCGGGGCCCTGCGCACACCTTGTTCAGGACATCCTTCTGAGAGCCCAGGTAGAGGTGAGGCAGGATGCGGGTCAGGCCCACGCTGGGCACGGGCAGGCAGGGCTGGGAGAGGCTCACGGGCAGCAGGGCGGCGGGCTTGCCCTCGCAGAGGCCGGGGAAGCAGGAGGAGAAGGTGGCGAAGCCCCCTGCAGGAGGACGGAATGGAGGAGACTGTCGGGCAGGCCGCTGGGGTGGGAGGGAGCCCGGGGCACAGACCGCCGCGGGGCCGCAGCCACACCCAGCCCGGCCCCCCACGGCTGACCCTCCGATCTGGGCACCCGGGGGCAGGGCCGGGTGCTGGAGGGCCATCTCACCGCGCTGTGGCCCGTGCCCTCGCGCCCGGCGCGCGCGGCGTCTGCAGCCCGCCCCCACGCCCACGTTCCTCCTCTAGGAGGACGCTGTTGTGACGCCCGTAAAATGTGGGGTCGAGGTGGGGGTCAACAGGCAGCACCGCAGGCCCGGGCAGGGGCGGGCTCCGCGGTGGTGCTGGGGGTCTCCTGGGGAGGACGTGTGTGTCACACAGCCCCCCTGTGGTCCCCGTGGCCGGGGCCCGGTCGGGCTTCCCTCTCCCCCTGGGCTGATGCAATCAATGCCTCCTTGCCTCCAACTGGCCAGGAGCCCCAGGTCCAGTGTGGGTGCCAGGACCGGGAGGCAAGAGCTTCGGAGGGGCCCCCCCTTCCCGGGCATGACATCACCCGCTGGGGCTGGCACAGCCCCGGGGGGGGGCCTCTGCGCTCCGGGGACGGCTCCACTCCACCAGCAGAGACACGGAGGAGCTGGGCACCCGGGGCGGGCAGTGGGCACGCGGGGTCCCTGCCCCCGGCGTGTGCGCTGCCACCGTCCAGCACAGCGCCTCTGAGTCCTGGGCCACGGGTTGGAGGAGGGAGCCCCCCAACTGGCCTCAGTGGCCTGAGCTGGGTGGGTTCTTCCCCGGTGTGCCTCTGACCCCGTGAGTGCCCCCAGGCAGGGCTGTCCCCTGTGCTGCCTGCCACATAATGGGAACGGACTGGCTCCCACCCAGCCTGGCCGGGTGACCACTGAGCTGGACCAGCCGCTGGGCAGTGCCCAGTGGCTGCCGGCTCTCGGTAGAATGAGGAAGGCCCCCGGGGCGGGCCCCTGGGGCTGACCACACTTCTGGGGGCACGAGCCCTTCGCTGCTCCCCGCCCAGCAGCTGCCCTTTCCAGCCCCAGTGGACCAGCCCACCTCACGCAACGGGGGGGGGGGGGCAAGGCCTACCCCACCCCACCGGAGGAGGCAGGAGAGCAGGGTGGGGTCTGGTGCCCAGGAGTAGCTGGGGCCAGAGACCTGCTGACTCCCGTGGTCGGAGATGCCGGGGCACCCCACCTGCACCCCGGCCCAGCTCCGTGGTCGGTGCGTGCTGACCCCCAACCAGAATGCTCCCTGAGCCCCCGGTGAAGGTTTGACTCTGAGCGGGATGGGTGGGCATGGAGATGGGGACCTCCTGGAGGGGGAGGGGAGGCTCGAGCCTTTGAGGAGAAGCTGCCCCTTCCCTGGGAAGTGACTGCTGACACCGAGGCTCACAGGTTCCCAGGACAGGAGGCTGAGCTGGGGCCTGGGGTCGGCTCCTGCTCACCATCTGGACCCTGCCTGTTCAGAGCAGCATGGCCAAAGTTGGGGGGGGCACCAGGAGCCCCTCCCCAAAAGGGAAGTCTCAGCACAGGTGCAGAGACCTGCCAGCCTTTGCAGCAGTTGCTCAAGGATCCTCCTGGGCACAGCCAACCAGCGTGGGGAGCCCCCACCAACCCCCATAGATGCCAGGTGTGGCCGGAGACCAGGGCCACCACAGGCTATAGGATGTGCGCCCGGGAGCGAAGCCGTGGCAGCAGACCCGGACTCTGCAGGTCCCAGCACTCTGAGACATGGGACGACGCCCCGAGGACCCAGGCATCCCCAAGAGCACCTCCATTCAGGAGGGAGCCCTCCCGGACTAACCCCATTCCCTCTGCCGCCTGGAGAGTCCGGGAGGGTGCAGCGGCTGGCCTGCCCCTCACAATGAGATCCCGGATTCCTTGCGCAAAAGCGCGCGCCCGGACGCGCGCCCTCCCCGCCCATACACGCGCCCAGCCGCCGCCCCACCCGCAGCTTCTGCCACCGCATGCTCCAGCCCTAAAGAAGTCCTCAACCCTCCCTGGCGGGTCCCACCCACCCTCTCTGCTGAGGCCGTTCCTGCCGCGGCCCCCAGCCCGGGTCGGAGGGCGATGCGCGCGGGGCCGAGCCTCAGGAGCGCACCGGTCCCGCGGCGGCGGCATCCCTGCATTCCGCAGTGCCGCGCGCGAGCAAACGCCGGCTCCCGCTCCGGCCGCTTAAAGGGCCAGGCTCCCCTTCTCATCCCCGCCCGCGCTGGACGCCACAGCCTAGCGGCTAGGTTGGGAGGGGGCGGAGGACAGGGGTCACAGCAGCCGGTTCTCGCACCCTAGGGCACCTGACCCCACTGCCCTCTCCCACTTTCACCCACCTCCTTGTCATGGGTGGGGTGGGGTGGGGCCCTCTCCGGCCCAGCAGGGCGGTCCTCATCTCGGGGCTCCTCAGGGCCCTTCACCTCTCCCCCCAGGGGTCAGCCTGCAACTGCTGGCTCCTCCCTCTGTGCTGGGTTCGCGGGCTTCCCCCTTCTGGGGCGGGGGGGCAGCACCCACCTCCCTGCTGGGCTTGGCCTTCCCATTCTCACCCACCGATCAGGGGTCTGCTTGCCTGGGTGGGGTGGGAGCTGCGAGCAAGGCCAGGGGGCTGTCCCCAGGCCTGGGTCCTGACTTGGTGTCCCTGGGAGCCGCCCTCATACCCTGAGGGGCAGGCCTCCCTCCTGGCTGGGCTCTGGGAGAAACAGGGGCACACACCCTCACTTTGCAGGGTGGGGCCCAGGTGAGCCCTCCGGGTGCACCCCCGCCCAGGCCTGCCCCTCCAAGGGCTGCGTGAGGGCCCCCCACCCTGGGTAGGGAGACCCCCCCGAGGCTCTGGGCTTTTCCCGGCAGCCTGAGGACGGGGAAAGTGCAGCTCTGGGACTCCCTCCTCAGACTCCCAGCGGGGCCTGGCAGTTCCCTCCCCTGCCAGGGCCGGTGTGCTGGGCCCTGGGAGAACGCCCGGGACACCTGTGAGAGCCCAGACAGCTGCCCTCGTCCCCTCCACTCCCCACCCACTCAGCACCCCCCCATGGACCAGGGGTGGGGGTGCACTCAGGGTCGGCTCTTCCCAGGCTCTGGCCCCTCAGGGACCCGTCCTGCAGGCTGCCCGGGCGAGCTCCGGAGCAGCCCGGGTGGGACACACAGGCTAGCGGGTGCTGGCCGCCGGCGTCCCAGCACCACCCACGGACGCTGACCCCTCCGACCACACAGGCCCAGCCGTGCGAGCCCTGGGCCGTGCCAGACACACGTGTGGAGGGTGGCACGCCTGCCTGTGCCCCCTGCCCCCGCTGACTCGCCATGCTGGGCGACCCCGGCACCTCCTCCAAGGGGTCTGCCCTGAGCAGCGTGGCTACGGCGGTCAGCAGGCTGACTCAGGAGCCAGCGGGACCCCCGCAGCTGGTGTGTGAATGCGGGGGGGGGGTGGGTTGGCCTGGCTACTCTGGGGAACAGGAAGCCCTGGGGGGGACCCCTGAGGGCCTCCAGGCCAAGGTCATGAGCATCCTGGCTGGGAGGGAGCCCTGGGGGCCTCCCCTTGTGGGGACCTTCTTGGGCCAGACTGGGGTGTCCAGACACTGGGGCCTATGCCTTCTCCTTGGGACAGCTGGTCGGGGACAGCGCTCAGAGGAGCCACATCTTTGCCTGGGCGCCTCCCCCACCCCCACCGCGGAGGTATTGCGGGTCTCCTTCCGTTCACCTCTGCACCTGCTAGTGGAGGGAGTCCTGATGCATGGGGGTCCAGGGGCGGGGTGGTGGAGCCCTGAGAACTCCAGAGCCACCGAGGTCCCCCACCAGCCCAACGGACACTTAGAGAGAACGGGGTGCACCCAGAACCCCGACGGCGGGGTACCCGACCCCCAGCCAAGCAGACGGTGGGGGAGAGAGGTGGAGAGGAGAGGCGCCCGGTGCCCCCCCTCTAGCCGCTGGGCTCACCTGTGAGGATGGCCACACTGTCGAAGCAGCCGTCCAGCTTGCTGAGCAGGATGGAGAGGAAGCTGTCCGCGGCCAGCACGCTGGCGTCCCGGGTGCTCTGGTCGTACACCACCACGTCCTGCGGCGGCTCCTCGGCCTCCGCCTGGGGGCCGGGAGGGCAGAGGTCAAGGCACCACCAGGCAGGGGCTCTGGGGACGGGGGGAAGGGCTGCTGCCCCCCGGGAGGGCAGTCACCCAGATGCCCATCCTGCACCCGGTCAGGTGTACCGCCCACGGGCGTACCGGCTGGCCCATCTGTGCAGGCAGAGACCGGAGTGGGGGGGTGGGGGGGGTGGGGGGGGTGGGGGGGCAGGGGGGCAGTGCTGTCCGAAGCAGCCTCTTCTCACACACACACACACCAGGGAACTGACACTTGGGGCTCCCACTGCGGGCCAGGCCCACGTGGACGAGACACAGGTGAATGTGACAGGTCCCCAGCGGGCCCAGCTGGGGCCCACGGGGACAGGATCGCACAGCCACGGCCTGAGCTGGCTCCCACGTGGGCCAAGCACCTTTCCGGGATTTGTGGGTACAGGGTACCTTTGGGCCTGGCTCTCCCCTCCCCACACCCCCAGCCAGTCAGCTATGTGGAAACTGAGGGCCACAGCAAGAGCCCCCCAACTCCAGGAGGCAGCAGCTAGAGGCTGGGGTTCCACCTGCCCTCCTCTTTCTCCGAATACCTGGCCTGGGCCAGATGTTCAGCAGCTTTTGCTCAGAGAGCGGCTGATGCCCCCGCCCCCCAGGCACACTCAGCCCTTAAGCCAGCTGAGCCCCCAGCCCGGCCAGATGATGTCACCAACAGCCAATGGGATTGCGCTGTGGTAGGGAGTCCTTGCTGGGGGTGATTGATGACCGGATTCCCCTCCCTGAGGCCACGGGGAGCAGTCCGCCGGGTGTGGGGGGCTCCTGACAGCCGGCCACCTCACCTGGGCCCTCTCACAGCCAACTCTGCCCTCTGTGCTCTGTGACTGGGACCCCCCAGGGCCCCCATTGCCACTGCCTCCCCAGGCCCGTGGCCCAGCTGTCTCTCCCCCGATAGACCCGGTGCTGCTGGGAAGAGCCGGCATTGTCCACTGCAGGGGACCCTCGACACTTGTGGGGGTTACAGAGAGAATTCTGGGCCACTCAAGACTCCAGAGGGGAATGAGCCGGGGTGCTGGGGACAGGGACTGCTCCTCGTAAGCCCCTCGGGCCGCTCCCACCTTCTTCTGAGCCCTCACAGCCCCCCAGAGTGTGCCTGACCCCCAGCACGCCGCCCTGCGCCCGGTGCTCGGTTCCGTCTCGCTCAACCGCTCAGCACCCCTCTCCGGGCCGGGACGTGGCTTTGTCTGGACAGCTCCATGGGGGCCTGGGGGCCGAGCGAGGACCCAGATGGGTCGGAAGGCTCCGGGAGGGCGGGGAGCGGGGGATGGGTGTCAGGGAGGCCCTCCCTGGGGCAGGTGGGGCCGCGCTGCTGCGGCCAGCAGCGGGGGCTGGCTGCAAACATTCTGGCCCCGAGGAGCCCGGTCGGGGTTCCAGGGCGGAGGAGGGGAGGCTGTCCAAGCCAAGGGTCCCCGGGCACCGGGCTGAGGAGCTCAGCCCTGGGGCCTGGGGCCTGGGGGCGACGGAGCCCGGGCAGGGAGGGGCGCCAGGAGCGCGGGGCGGGGCGCCAGGAGCACGGGGCCGGGACGCTGGGCGGGGCCAGTACCTGGCTGCGCACGGCCGGCTGGATGAGCTCCGCGATGGTGACCTTGCCCTGCTGCAGCCGCCGCTTCACCAGCTTGGAGCCGCAGATGTTGACGGAGCTGAGCACGTGCCAGCGGTTGTACTCCACGAAGGAGCGGCTGTCGATGACCAGGGGGCCCCCGGGCCCGCCCCGCAGCAGGCTGGCCAGCTTCTTGGCGTCCATCACCTTCCTGGGGAGCCGGTCCCCGGCCATGGTGCGCAGTGGGCGGTGGGGAGGCGGCGCCCCCCGAAGTGAGCAGGGGGTGCTCCGACGGCCCGGGCGTGGCCTAGAAGGCGGGGTGGCCGGGCATGGCGCCAGCCCTGTGGGGAGAGGCAGCCGGTCAGCACGGGCTGCAGAAGGGCCCGTGTGAGGTCCCAGGGCACAGTCCACCTGGTCCCGCCTCGCGCCCATGGTCGCCTCCCCCTGGGGGTGCGCCCGCACCCCTCCGGCTCTTCTGTGAGAGAGCGCTGGGACCTGTGACACACAGAGCTGGGATGTTCTGGGAACTCGGGAGGGGGCCTCCAGCCTGCAGCTCCGGTCACAGTGCTGGCCTCAGCAGGACACCAAAGGGAAGGGGCTCTGGGCTTGGGCCGGGCCACGGAGGCGCAGGACAAGCCCTGAGCATCCTGCCCCTGGGCCCTCGGGTCTGTGGACCCCCCCTTCATTCTGCCCCTGCAGCTGCTGCCACCCCCTCCCCTCTCTGGCCCCTGCTCCTTCCCACCCCCCCACCCCTCCCTGCCCAGCCCCCCCCCCCAAGGCACACCCTCCCTCTCTGATCCCGAATAGCCCGGCGCTCTATAAGCTGATAATCTGGACGGGTTTGTGGGGGTGTCGGGGCTGTCTCCACAGGCTGACAGGCTCTGGGGGTGGGGGCGCGGCCCCAGCAGGTGCCGGAGAGGCTGAGGGCTCCGTGCTGTGGGGGCCCCTCTGCTGCCACCGGTTCTCCAGCTCTGCGGGCCACGGCCTGGAGCGGGCTGCGTGCCGCCACACACCTCCCGCACGGTGCGCACCACGCCCACAGAAGGGGGAGGTGCCAGCCGGCTGCTCCGGGCACAGTGTGGGGCGGTGGGGCGGTGGGGCTGGGGTCTGGGGGCACCATCTAGGGGCTGGTAGGTCCCAGAATGGGGGGTTGGGAAGCAACCAAGGACAAAGGTCAGCATGGTGACCAGTGTCTGGGGCCCTCGGGCTGAGGGGTGCACAGCGAGGGGAGGAGGTTAAGGGGACTGCAGGGCCCTGGATGGAAGCCCCCTCCCGGGGAGTCCGTGCCAAGCCCCTGCCACCCCTGCCCCACCTGCCAGGCCCCACCTGGCCTGTCTCTGCTCAGAACCAGCCTTTCTCTGGCCCCACCTAAGCCTCACAGGTGCCCCAGAGGTATGCTGTATCAGGGTGACGAATTTACTTCAAAGACAGGTAAACTGAGGCTCAGGGAAGGGGTGGGACCAGCCCAAGGTCACACCAAGGAGACTGGACAAACCCCAGGCCTCATTCTATCAGTTCTTCCCTCCACCACACTGGCACCCAGCTTGGGGGTGACGGGCGGCTGGGAGACAGGTGTCCCCTGAGGCCCACAGAGAGGGGACCCCTTCAGCAAGCCCCCAGCCTGCAGCATTGGGGTGACACGCCCTGAGAACACTGGTCAGACTTCAGACGGTGGTGACAGGCGACACTGGAAGCAGCCACTGTTTGGGGGCCACCCCTCGGGTGAGCCCCCAGGCTGGCCGCAGTGACACCAGAGTCCACAGAGAGGCAGGCGCAAGACAGGTGTGGGCGGAGTCCACCTGCGGCAGCAGCAAAGGCTGACCACCCAGCTGGTGCCCAGGGAAGTGCCCCGGACGGCCCCGGTCAGTGGGCGGGGCTTGGGGGTCCCCCCACAGACACCTGCTTCCCAGGTTCCGCCGCTGTGGGGTGCAGCTGCTGCCCCTCTTGAGGGGGGTCCTGCCTGCTGCGGGGTCCCGATTTGATTCCTTTACGGGCAGTTTCGGGAAGCTGTAACCTGAACGTCCTCACGGCTGTGACAGGCCACTGCCCCGGGGTCCCCCTCCCACGTGCCTCTCCTGCAGGTCTGGGCAGAGCCTCCTGCCCTTGGCCATGGAACTGAGAGTCCAGGTCAGAGGCCCAGGACCCTGAGCTGGACACCGTGGGGGAGGGCGGCCCTCCCTCCGCATGATGCCCCTTAGGCAGCGGGGAGCAGTCGCCTCCCACCCAACGCTGCCGCCGTGGGCCTCAGCGCAGGGAGGAGGGAAGGGGCTGGGAGAGCCTGCACGTCCCTGCCCAGGGTGTGGAGGTGTCCACGCTGCAGCTGGAACACAGTCTGCAGGAGGGCAGGGCGGGGGGTGGCCGGGGCCAGGGGGGCCAGGCTGGGCTGGGGCTGGAGGGGGTGTGGGCAGCCTGCCCAGGTCCCTACCTGGTGCCTGCCCCCCCCCCCGCCCCCAGGATCCTCCAGCGTGGCCCTATTAACCACCACAGTATTGTTATTTGCAGCCAAGGGGGACTCATTAGCCAGTTAGCACCTCCGTTGTTGCCATGGCAACAGCAGAGGTGCCAGGCAACCGCTACTCCTGCTGCAGCAGCAGCAGCAGCCGCTGAGCAAGGCTGGCTCCACGGTGGCGCAGGTCCCCTTCCTCGCTCCTAACCCCTCTTCCCGCCCCTGCAGGTGCCCCGTCGCTAGGGCCTGGGACCACCCCCGCCAGGCCCCGTGCGGCCCCTCTCCTTTCTGCGCCCTTTGACCCTCGCCCTCCTCAGGGTCTGGCACCCACCCTGCAGACTCCCCCCCTTGGAAGACTTCTCTGAACAGCCACACTCTGGCCCAAGCCCCTCCCGCACCCAGCCGGCCTCCTGGGAGCGCACTGCCACCCGCAGGGCCTCTCGGATCTACAGAAGACCTCTCCAAAGGTGGATGCTGCGGACCAGGACCCGGGGCTGGGCACACAGTGGGGTCGGGGCGGAGAAGCTAAGGGCAGCCCCGGGCAGACGACTGCGGCCGGAACAGGCCAGGTGGGCACAGAGACCACAGGCACCACAGGGTCGTGGGCCTCCCCGCCCTCAAGGACGCACCCCAGGTGCAGACCAGACCCCACTTCTGGGAACTACTGGGGGGAGCACCAGTCACCTCCTGTTCCAGAGCCTGGGTGTGGGGCGGCGGCGGGGATGCAGGGGGTGCAAATGAGGGCGGAACAGCCCCTGCCCTGGCGTCAAGGCCGTGCCCAGTCCAGAGGCAGGAGAGCCCGCCCCGTCCCGGCTGGATGCTGCCCGCTCCGGCGCAGCGCACACGCCGCTGAGCCTGCTGGGACATGCCTCTTTGCACACTGACTGCACGCGGGCCTGTGTTCACCCCTGCCCCACAGCCCACCTCGCCCCACCCCTGCCGTGTGCAGTCACACGCCAATGCGTGTGCCCACACCTGTGGTCACCGGCCACATGCGTCCTCACCCTCTGCACGCCAGACACCCCCAAACCCCAGGACACCCCACCCCCGGGGCCCGCTCCACGGCCTCACACCCTCAGCTCCCGGGGCCTCCCTCCCCGAGGCTCGTTCAGGTCCCCGAGCACACGCGTGACCAGGGAACTCCCGACGGACGGCAGTCTCAGCAGGGCACGGCCGCTCGGCGTCGGGTGACGGGGAGCTCACCATCCCCTGGGGTGGCTGCCAGGCCTGGGAGGATGGGGACTGTGGCCCTCACTCAGGAGTGGCACTTGGTGCATGCCGGCGGCCTCTCGGGAGCAGTGGGCCGAGGAGGGGCAGCAGTGGCCGCACGGAGCCCTCCAGAGCCGGGCCCCGAGGGTGCACACTGGCTCGGTTCACAGAACCTGCCCCATGCTCGTCGAGGACCCCAAGTCTCAGGCCGCTGCTCCCCTCTCGGCTCCTGGGGGTGAGCAGCACGGGCCCCACCCTGGCCCTCTCGCCCCCGCCCAGCCAGGCGAGGCTACCTACGGCCTCGGCAGGCAGTGGGTAGGGGCCTTTTGCCCTCGGTTCCCTGGGGTCCGGGCTGAGCCCGGGGTGGGTGGGGGGCTTGGCAGGTGAGCGCTTGACAGGCAGGTGCAGGACGCCACCACCTCCGGGTTTCCTCCATCCCTGCCAGGCTAGGACCAGCCTCGCCGATCTGCGGGGCCCGTCCCCAGGTCCCACGCCCAGGCCAGCCCAAGGTCTGCCAGTCGCTGTCCACCGTGTCTCGCGTGTGGGCCGGCTGCCCAGGCGGAGCTGCCCGGGAGAGGAGGCCTCGGCTCACGAAGGGCCCGCTCAGCCTGCTTGGGGTCGGCCCCTCCTCTCCGTCCCCGAGGAGCCGCGTGCACAGCTCAGACATGTAATGGGGACACCCTCTGGCTTCCCTCGGCCGTGGCCCGCGGCCCCTGCAGCCCGCCCCCTGTGCCGCTGAAACCCCTGGCCCCGAGGGCAGCCAGGCCTGGGAGGGGAGGAGAACTGGGGACGGACCCCGGAGCACAGGGCACTCTCCAGCATCTTCTGGGAGGCAGCCTCCAGGGCCCAGGAGCCTCCCAAGGGCCGAGGGCGGGAGGGGGTGCCCAGAGCCTGCCGCCCGCTCTCCCAGCCCAGGCCGGCTGCAGCGGACCTCAGGGTGCAGCCCTGTCCTTGGCGGGTGTGATGCGGGAGACATCTGTCTTCCCCAGCAGGGTGGGGGCGCTGGGCGCTGCTCAGTGTCCAGCACTGCCCTTCGGGCAAGAAGGCCCGGGGCCAGGAAGAGCACTGCTCCCCTGGCCTGCAGCCCAGCCCCCAGCTGCACAAGAGCACTGCAGACACCGAGCTCCTCCAGCCCCCAGCTCCCCCCCACTCCCCGGCGGCGGCGCTGCAGCTCCCGGCCCCCAATCCCGCCCCCCCCGCCAGCAGAAGCCAGAAGGCAAATTCTCCCGGAGCGTGGAGACCTGGTGTGGGCTGGGCCCTGGTGTCCCTTCCCCTCCAGGCCGGTCTGTGATATGCCCTCCCCCCCAGGTGGGGCGATAGGCGGAAGGAGGCGGGCTGCACCCAGCCTGGCAGTGCCAGCCCCTCCCCCAGCGCTCGGGCTGCCTCTGCTGCAGCCTGGCCGAGGTCTTTTATTCCGCAGAGGCCCGCCGAGCACCCCGAGGTGGGGGTGCCTGGGGCGGCCTGGGCACACCACAGGGGAGGTGGATCTGCAGCCCCCCCCCACCCCAGGTGGAATTAGCCCTTTCCTGAGCCTCCCAAAGGCCAAAGGCCCTCCCGCCCCTATGGCCAAAGCCTCCGCATCCCGGGCAAGCGCGCGTCACGGAAGACCTTCTCCAATTCTGGGCCCCACCGTGAGGTGGGGGGGGCGTCCGAGGGGTGGGGGGCATCACGGCCTCGCGCGGTGGTCGGGACAGATCCCCGCTGGGTGTGAAATGACCCTCCTGGGTCCTTAATTCATAGCCCCTCCCCCCACCAAGATAAGAAGCAATCGCGGGGAGAAAGGCGGCTAATCGGTGGCAGGGCGTGGGCCGAGCCGGGGTCCTCCGGGCGCTGCGAGAAGCGGGGCAAGGTCTTCCCTGTCCAGTCCGCGGCACCCCTGAGAGCTGGGTTTGGGGCCGCCACCCCGCGAGCCGGGACCCTTCCCCTCCCGGCCGCCTGCTCCTCTCGGGCGCCCGGCGCGCGCAGACCCCAGCGCTCCCGACGTGGCGCCCCCCCTCCCGAACCGGGCTGGGCGCACCGGCTCCGTGCCGGTGAACCTCCTCTCCGCCAGCGACCCCCGCCCGGCGCCCCTGCTCACCTCGCTCACACTCGCCTCCGGGGCGCACCGGGGCACCGCGCTGCGCTCAGCGCGCCGGGTCGGCTGCGCCGCCCATGGGCCCGGCGGGGGCCCGCGCAGCCGGGGCAGGGGCCGGGGGAGCGTACGGGCCGCGTCGCCGTCGCCGCCGTCGCCGCCGCGGCCGACGCGGGGAGCGCTCGTTCGGGCCGGGGCGCGCGCACTGCGGGCGGGCACGCGCACTCGCGGCGCGCATCCCACCCCGCGGCTCCGCGGGCGCGGCCGGTGCTGCTCCGGCTCCGGCTCGGCTCGGGCTCCGGCGTCCGGGCTGGGGGCGCGGAGCCGGCTCCGCCGCGAGTGACAGGCCCGGGGCGGAGGGCGGGGCCGCCGGCGGGGATGAGGTCATGCCGAGCGAAAAAAGCCCCTGACGTCACCTGCAGCCAATCAGCGCGCGCGGCTCCGGGGCAGGTGACGTCAGCCGGAGCCCGGCTTTGGGTGCAGATGAGTCGCAGCGGCCACAGGGGGCGGGGGCCGGGCTCGCGGCTGCCGCCCTCCGCCCTCTGCCCTCACCCGGCACCCGGGCACTGCTTTTTAAAGGGGCCGCGCGGTGTCCCGCTGCGAGGCTTAGCACCCCCACCTCCAGGAAGCCCTCCCAGCCCCGGCGCCGGGAACCCAAGACTCACCACACATAGACTCTCGGAGAGTCCGGCTGACCGGGTCCCGCACGGGAATCCTCTCCCCGCCGGACAGGCCAGAGCTGGAGCCGGCCCCCCGCCTCCCGCGCCCCCCCTCCCGCCCCCCGCAGCCTTTGTTCCTGCGGGGCCCGCCTCCGAGAGAGCCTTGGCTTGCCCGGCGCCTGGCCCGGGAGTGCGCACCGTGAGCCCGGCCCCGCGGAGCGCTCTCCCTGCCGCGTCTGCGCTCACCCCTCTCCACGACTCCCGGAGGCGGGAACGCCGGCCTCCAGTTCGCCTGGGAGGAGACTGGACGCTGCTCAGAGGCGAGATGGCTTGCCTCGGCCACACATCTCGTGAACTCTGGTGTGTGTGTGTGTGTGTGTGTGTGTGGCAGGGTCAGTGCAGCGCTGTTCCCCCCCAGTCCCGCGACGACCTCCAGCCCTTGACGCTTCCAGTGAAAAACCGCCCCTAAACAGCGCTCACAGGGGCCCACCCCACAGTGTGCGCCCTGGCCCCCTCCCCCACAGCCCCTTTCCCAATAAAGACTGGGAGGGAGGGCCCGCCCGCCCCCAGCCGGTCACTGTGGGAACACTACCAGCCTACCGCTTGGACGCTGGGCGTCCAGAGCGGGAGCAAACATAGGTAATTACACCTTGGGCAAGTGTTGGGGCGGAAACAAATGGGGCCAGCGACACACTGGAGCAGGTGGGTGTCCCGGAGGCCACGCCGGGAGGTGACCTGCAAACAGTGGCTGGCGGCAGAGGCGGCCTGTGGTGCAGCTGGCGCCGTCCGGGGCAGGAGAGGACCTTGTCCCCGTTCCAGGAGGAGGCCAGGGTGCTGGAGGCAGAGGGGACAAGCGGCTGCACACCTATTGATTCCTCCGATATTTACCGAGCTCCCTCTCGGGTCCAGGCCCCGGGCCTCGCGCTGGGACTTATCTCTGAGAACCGGGAGCCCTGCCCCAGGAGCTGACAAGCCCTGGGGGCCTGGAAGGTAATTATTTTGGGGGGAGGTGTGACTAGACAGCCCCCAACCTTTCTAACCCCTCCCCCGGGGCTGCCCAATGGAGAGTGTAGGTGGTCACTTCTCCAGCCTGGAGCTCCGGCCAGGACAGGTCTCCGGGATCGGGGCTTCGGCCCCCAGGGTGCGCAGCCACTTCCCATGGAGACGGGGAGCTGGGGGTGGCCTTCAGCCGTCGCTGATTGAAAGGAGGGTCACAAAAAATGAAGCGGGCAAGACTGTCCTGTCCCCTCAGGGCCAGGGTGGGCACCCAGGACCCCAGAACTCTGAGTGGGAATGGGGATGGGGAGGGCAGCGGGCAGCGGGTGGGTGCTGGCCAGGGATTAGAAGGACCCTCCCCTTCCTGGTCCCATACTCAGTTCTCCCAACCAGACTGTGCTGTCTCAGAGCCCAGCACACAGTAGGAGTCTAATGAGCGTGTGGGGTCTGCTCCCTCGCTGGCCTCAGGGGCATCCAGGCCAGCTCCTGTGTGTGTGTGTGTGTGTTGGGGGGCACTGGCTGAGAGCTGGCTGGCAGGGGAAACAAACTAACATCTTGGGGGCGGGGAGGCAAAGCCCTGAAAGTCCCGGGCTACTCAGCTCAAGGTTTCCCTCCTTCCCTGGGCCAGGTTGGGGTGCAGTGGGGCGGGGGGGAGGATCCTGCTAGCAGGAGAGGTCCTGGCCAGAGGTGGACGCAGAACTCAGCCAGGGAGATGCCCAGCAAGGATGCAGGGCCAGGTCAGCGATGATGGGGGCGGGGGCAGTGTGGTGGAGCCTGGCTGCGCTGAGCTCTCTCCGTGTCTGAGAGGAGGGGGCAGCCGAGGGCCTTGGGAAGCCCCGACAGACCGGGCAGGCCTGGGACCCGCAGGGGCGAGGTTGTCCCGCATCTTTCTGGGGGAACTGTCACCCGAGGGGTGGGGTCGCCCAACCCAGCTTGCTCCCCTGGCCAGATCCCAGCAAGCCCAGTAGGGAGGGGGAAGGGGGTGCGGGGGTGTCCAAGCAGGCTCCCAGCCGGGGTTCCATCAGTGCCTGCATGTGGCTGGCGGGTGCCTTTGGCCCCCAAGAACTCCAGCTGCGCTCTGGGTGGCGCCTAGCTAGGCCTGAGCAGGCGGCGGTCAATGGAGGGGATGGTGGTGACGCCCTCGTGGCCCCTTCTGGGGGCTGTGAGTGTGTGGGGGCGGCACACAGCCCCCGGGCTGTGCCTGGCCAGGGGAGCGTGGTTAGGCGGTGAGCACTGTATAACTCTGAGGGCTGTTTCTCCTGCAAAGGGGCCCTTAGCACCAGGCGACACCGGGTGTTCCGCCACAGCCGGGCAGACAGGCGGAGAGGCACCCTCTCTGGAGGGAGCAGTGCCTTTGCAGGGCCACTGGCTCTGGCCCTAGGTTCTTTCCAGCGCAGGAGCTGTATCCGATCCCCTTGGGGCGCTCCCTCGCCCCCAAGCAGAGGGCTGGCGCCTGACCCGCGGGCCCTGAGCGTCAGGCCCCCAGTCCTCCTCGCTGTGCCGGGCAGCCAGCATCTCCTCTGGGCACAGGTGTGGAGGGGCAGGGGCGCCCTGGGGATCGGGCTGCAATGGGTCCGAGCGGTGGGCCGGGCGTGAAGCGGAACACCTCGCGGTGTTTACAGCTCCCCGCGGGGTTTACAGCTCCCGGCGGGGCCTGGCTTGCCGCAGTGGCCGCCGTGCCAGGTGAGGCAACGTCCGGGGGCGCCCTGGTTCCCCGCAAAGTAATCGCGGCCACGCTAGTCTGTGCGCGCAGACCGTGCGCAGGGCCAGGGAGGCAGGCAGGTCGCAACCCGGGACTGGTCCCGCGGTGCCGCAGGTCGGAGCGCAGCGGCCTCCGCGGTCCGCGCGCGCCCTCTGCCGTCGACTTGCGCGCGCCGCGCTGGGGGCGGACGCCCAGGGCGGGCGTTTCTGACCGCATTCCCTCTGCGCAAAAGCGGAGCGAGTTCGCTCTTCCTCGATGATTTGCAACCCAGTAGGTATCCTGTAACCGTTTATCCACCCTGTCCACTTGGCACTACCTGACTTTCCCAAAGTCAAGGCCTAGATGCAATGCGCAACTCAGCTGCACGAGGAGATAGGTGGTTGGGAAAGGTGTACGCACCCGCCTTCCCGAAGCATTTCCGTCAGCTCAGCGTGTTCCCCGCGCCTCTTTCCGGGCCGTTGTCCCCTCACCTTCTGACCTGTCACCGAGGGGTGGTGTTGCCTGTCCTTGAACTCCATAGAAATGGCAACGCGCCGTGTGCATTCTCTTTCGTTTGGCTTTTTTGCACTCAAAGAATGCTTTTGAGACTGCTGCCACGCCACGGCCAGTCTCTGAACAGGGTTTTGTATTTTATGGGAGTGTGGAGATGCTCACACCAGCTCTGTTTTGTGAGGTTTTCCCCGTGTTTCCGCTATTAAGAACGTGCAATGAGCAGTATCCTTCTGTATGCTTAGGAAAAAGTCCTCACCAGAGGATACGTTTATTGATTTAAGAGAGAGGAAGGGAGAGAGAGAGAGAGACAGAAACATCGACCCACTGTCTCCCATATGCGCCCCAACTAGAGACTGAACCTGCTAGCTAGGGTGTGTGCCCTGACCAGGCACCGCACGGTGACCTCGTGGTGCCCAGGACAACGCTCCAACCCACCGAGCCACCTGGCCAGGGCTCTGTGTGCTTTTACTGACACAGCACGGTTGATTTTATTTCCTGCGTTTTATTATGATATTTAAAAACTTACAAGCGAGCCGCGAGAGAGCGCCCTAACAAACCCCAACACACCCCTAGCTCCTACACCCCCCAGGGTCAGCATCCTTCCGCTTCTGCTTCAGAGGAGACGCAGCTGGGACCCAGGCGCGACCCCGCTCCCCTGCTGGGCGTCTTCCCAGTCCCGTCCTTGTGAGTCACTGCATGTGTGTGTCCCATGGACGGCGGCGAGTATTCCCCTGTGTGTGTGTGTGTGTGTAAAAAAAGATTTTAGAGAGGGGAACGGAGGGAGAAAGAGTGGGGAGAAACATCCGTGTGTGGTTGCCTCTTGCGCGCCCCCTACTGGGGGCCTGGCCCAGAACCCAGGCGTGTTGCCCTGACCGGGAAACCAACCGGCGACCTTTTGAACCCGTGCTCAGTCCACTGAGCCACGCCAGCCAGGGCAGCACTTGCTTTATGTATTTGAAGCTCTGCTATTGGTCGCACGGAAACGCGGGGTCCTGCCCTCCCTGGTGGCGTGGACCCTCTCGGCGTCCGGAGAGCAAGCTCTGTTTTCCCCGCTCACAAGTCCGCGTCTCTGACGGTGAGGCAGCGACACGGGTCTTGACTCGGTGGTGTTTGCCTGACGCACCTTCTGCTTCCCACCTCCCCGGGGCCGCGCGTTTAAAGTGTGTCTTTTGGGCGCAGCGCGCCCTCGAGTTTTCTTTCCATTTCCAGCCTGGCCTCGGCCTCCCTCCGACGCAGCGTTGAGACTGCTCGCAGTTTATCGTAACGACCGGCAGGGGGCGCCCATACCGCAGGGCTCGCCTGCATCTCACTGCTACGATTTTTCTACTCTCCGCCCTTCCTTTTACTCCGTTTCTCCCTCCCGTTCGCTTCTGCGTTACCTAGTCACGTGTCTTTCTTTAATGGTTCTGCTGGAGAGTCCAGCTTACATCCCGCA